GACCCACAAGCTAAAGTTTCAGGCTTTATGTTTCAATCTGATTGGTTCCCAATTCGGAACGGGACCCGACAGGGCTGCCCACTGGCCCCACTACTGTACGTTGTGTCTATTGAACTTTTGACAGCTGCCATCAGACAGAATGTAAATGTCAAAGGCATAATGGTTAACACTCTTGAGATCAAGATCACACTTTATGCTAATGCTGTGATCCCGACTCTCTCGGACCCTGCTAGCTCATTATCGGAATTATTTCATTCAGTAGAAGAATTTGGTAAATTTTTCGGTCACAAAGTCAATATTAAAAAGACACAAATCCTGTTAAAGGACCTAAGTGGATACAGCTTAGATTCCCTTAAAGAAAAATTTAAGCTAGACTGCGATAAACTCAACTTACAGACATCAATAAACTCAGCTATTACAGACATCAATAAACTCAACTACTTGGTACTTGCTACCCAATTTAAAAATAACCTTAAAGCTATGAAGGGTACTGAGCTGTCATGGTTAGGCAGAATTGAGGTAATCAATTCTTATTTATTAACAAGATTGTTATACTCACATTATTTGAAAGCAGCCTCTATTAAGTAGACTCTTTCAAGTAGGAGTTAGAAAACCAGGAGTTACTTGGAGTGGTTTGTATACTGTGGAGAGTGGTTTGTATACTGTGGAGAGTGGTTTGTTTTTTATTTATTTTTTTTTAAATTTACTTTTTATTTTTATTTTTTGTGTTCTGGTTTCCCCCCCCTTTTTTGTGTGCTGCTGCTTGATTGATTGGGGGAGTGTTTATTAATTACACCTGTGTGGGATTTGTATCCCCATAAAGGCACACCCCTAACTCACTGAGCTTGCTCACATTATTTGAAAGCAGCCTCTATTAAGTAGACTCTTTCAAGTAGGAGTTAGAAAACCAGGAGTTAAAACTAACAAGGGGTTTAAACTATCAAGGTAACTGTTTTTATTTACTGTTTAAAGGGGAAATGAGTGTTAGCAAGATTGCTGGTTTAACTCAATGCACATCTTGTTGCATGTATGGATGCCTGGATGTACCCATCCAGGGTCCATACCTCTGTGATGGTTGTGTGCGAGTGGCTTCTCTGGAAGCTCAGATTGGAGATCTTGAGAAGCAAATCGCAACATTGAGGGAGATTGACAATCTTGAGAGGAGTCTACTGCTCACTGAGCAGAGTTTAGTGGGGACAGGTAGTGGAGAGGGAGGAGATAAGACAGATGGGGAACAGGCATGTAGCTGGGTGACAGTGGGGCGAGGAAGCAGGGGGGGAGGGAAGAGGAAAGGGCTAGCTAGTCCTGATTTGGTGCAACCTAGCAGATTTGCCCGTTTGAGGGAAGATGTTGGGAGCATCAGCTCAGGAGTAGCTGTATTAGAGGAAGCTGTTACTTCTAACAGCCGAGCTGCCCCCCTAGTACGGGTGGGGATCAAAATGTAAGGAAGGCAAGACAGGTTGTGGTGGTAGGGGACTCTATCATTAGGAGAGCAGATAGGGCAATCTGCCGCTCTGATCGGCTCAACCGGACAGTTTGCTGTCTCCCGGGTGCTCGGGTCCGGCATGTTGCTGACAGAGTGGATGGATTATTGGGAGGGGCTGGGGATGACCCAGCGGTCATGGTCCATGTTGGTACCAATGACAAAGTAAGAGGAAGATGGAAGGTCCTAAAGAATGATTTCAGGGAATTAGGTAGCAAACTTAAGAAAAGGACCTCCAAGGTGGTATTCTCTGAGATATTACCTGTGCCACGTGCTACAGTGGAAAGGCAGCGGGAGATTAGAGAGGTCAATGCGTGGCTTAAGTCTTGGTGCAGGAAGGAGGGTTTTGGGTTTTTAGAGCACTGGGCCGACTTTGCGATTGGGTACAACCTTTATAGTGGTGATGGATTGCACCTAAACGGGAGAGGGTCTGCAGTGCTGGGGGATAGGATGGCTAGAAGGTTGGAGGAGATTTTAAACTAGTAGTAGGGGGGGAGGGTCATAGCAATCTACAAAATGGAGATAGGACAGAAAGGAGATGGGCTTTAGCACAGTATAAGGGGGGTGGAAACGGGGGGAGGGGCAAGCTCAGAACAGAGAAGCTGTGTAATGTTGAAAATTCACAAAATATACAAGTGACGCATAATATTAAATGTATGCTTACTAATGCAAGGAGCCTAAATAACAAAATGGGGGAACTAGAGGCATTAGCATACACTAAACAATATGATATAA